GGCATTTCAACTATAAATGAAACAGGGATATATTGCATGGTTATATAAGAGCAAATACGTACACAGGTTCGCGCCGAATACCGTGGTTATGCCCGGGATGATAAATGATTAAATGATTCAGGTAGTTCACACTTCAGAGATCTTTTCGGGACTCCTCGGTGCTGGATGGAGTTCCAGGGCCTGAACTAGCCATATCCCAGCTTCCGTCTTCGCTTCGACGCCGACGACGCTCTCCGCGCTCCCTCATGGCATCGCGGATCCGTGAACTGACATCCTCAAGCGGGTCTTTTGTGGTGAGAGCGCTGAGCGGCTTTAGTTCGTGCCGAGACCCAGATCGGGCGCTAGCAGATCTGCTGCGGCTACGATCACGACTAGGAGGTCGTGTGGAGAAGAAGCCAATATTGGCCAGGTTGTGGAAGGACTCGTTGCGGGGGAGGGGTTCTGACGAGGGCATTTTCTCGCCATGGTCTACCACGCTGGTTCTTCTAATCTCCGGCACTTCGGTCTCAGCCTTGGTATCGGTGTGGCTCGCTTCTCGGAATGGATCGGTGACAATCCGAGCGGCATCAAAGTCGGGGAACAACTCAGGTCCCATGGTATTGATCGCATCTGTCACTTGCTGAGCTAGCGCAGCGCGTCTCTCTCGAAGTTTCACTAGCGTATTGGCCGATGATGGGTTCAGAGACAGAACAAGCGGGCGAAGTGACTTGATGATGTCCATGCCCACTTCACCGATCCGAAGAGCCGCAAATGTGATTGTGGGGAAGAGTATCATGCCGATCATCACTACCGACCAAAGTGGCACCCAGTCTGGAACCATCCCATTAACTCGGTTCCAGTAGGTCCAATAAGTGAGAGCAGCAGTGTAAAAGGCATAGAGTGCCGGAGCAAATGCAAGGGCAATAAGCAGCTTCCATGTGGCCATGACATCTCGGCCTTGAAGTTTCACTGTAGAAGCAGCCAGTGCTTCCTTGGACTTCTTTGCCGAGAGGTACTTGGTCGCAATGAAAACAGGGGTAAAGAGCAGGAACCCGGGGAGTGTTCCGATTGTCAAGAGTGCTAATTTCCCTAGGCGGTAGATCAACGTGGCCACCACCTGCAAGATGGAGAACTTAGCGTAGGCCACTTGATGATCCCGGATTCCAAGAATACGAAGCTGTTTGTTATATCCTACAATAGACTTGCGTAGATCCACGATCCGGGGATCGTCTTTGAAGTGGGCGTAACCTTTCACAAGACGGCGGTTCAGCTCCACAACCATAGGAAGAGGAAGATTTTTGCCTTTGGTGTTGTACAGACGACGGGCAGCTTGGATGACCTGTGAATTGTTAGCGGAAGCAAATTTCCCGAAATAAGAAGAAACCTACCATAAGAGTTTCATAATCGGGACTAGTGACAGTGACTGAAACGAGACTTCCGTAGATGATTTCTAGCAAAGCACCGACAGACTCACGTCGTTCACCTTGCTTGAACTGCTCCACCAATTCGGAGGGGATTTCAATTGGCGTACCAAACTCAATAACAGCCCTGGAGCGGAACTTGTGAGCATGGAAATAGTTCATGCCACAAGGCACGATCTTCAAACCACAGTCCGGGTTTTCTGCCAGGGTGCCTAGAGCCATTAGGGCGACACCAGCTGTATCATGTCAGTAGACCTTCCAGGTATCTTGAACACGAAAAGCTTACCTTTCAAGGGAAGCAGTGTAGTTCGATCATGGCTTCCGCCTTCCGGGAAGATACCGACACAGCCTCCTGTGCCCAGTCTTTTGAATACTGCCTGGTAGACTGCGGTCTGATCCACATGCGGAGCAACCTTGAATTTGGTACCCTTGAAATCCGGATTCTGCTTGGATGCATCTCCAGTGAACTTTCCATCACGGTCAATGTCTTCCCGTCCAGTAAGCTGGGCCAGCGCATCCCTGTGCTTGAAAGCCTTCTTGAGCACCAATTCCTCCGGTCCCTTGATCTCGGCAATCGCGGTACTGTGTGACGTTCCGTTGATGGTGGGTAGGGCGATAGTTCCGTCCTTTTCGAAGCCTTTTCCTTCAAAGTTGGTTCCAATACCTCGCAGCAGAGTTGGCTCGTTGATCGGGTCGGGAAGATAGATTGTGCCGGTCCCGGGCTTCAAGTTGTCCATAGCACGTGCCACGGGCAGTGTTCCAACTGCCCTCGCCAGAAACCCAATGAACTTGCGTTTGAAAGACTTGTCCGCGATAAGCCATGAGATCCGACGTTGCGCTTCGGTGCGAATGACGCGCATCAACACCAAAGAATCCACGAACTAGGCGAACATCCATCATTAGCATGTGTGTGTGGGACCGGAAGCGAGCGGCATACCTGGTTTGCATGGGGAGCTGCCACCAGAATGATGGGACCGCGCCGGGGGATCTTCCATGAGCCTCGGGGGTGGACCTCGCGGAAGAAGAGGTCGATGAGCACTGAGAATAACCAAAGGACCAAATCATACATCCACCCAACGAGGGGTGGGATGTACTGGCCTTTTCGCCCATTGTGCCGTAGAAGCCCAATGGGCAATTTCCGGGGAAAGAAGGCTGGAGGGTTGTGAAATGGTTATGATCGTGTCGACATGAAGTCTCTTGAGAAAAGATGAACGTGAGTACAGATAACCGGAAGGGTTTGGGATCCACCTACTTGGCTCGAGCCTCAGATCACCACTTACTATCCGATATCTCTGATAGACGATGTATATCAGAGGGAGAAGTAGAAGAATAGCGGGGGAGTTGGAAGTTGGAAAGTTTGGAGTCTTAGCGCGCTTTGACTCGGACGCTTCTAGAACGTGACATGTTAGACTTTTAGTTTCAAGTCGAAAAGTAACTTCCAAAGTACATAAAGGTTCTCTTATTCTCTGTATATTCTACATCCTACATCCCATATAAGCTAATCACAGAAAACCTTTCAAATCCCTATAACCCTTCCTAGCACTGGCCAGCGTGGAACATTTGCAACATACCTACCTACATACCTAACAATCCCTTGGGATCTGTCCAAATAATCCAAACATACTGGGATCCGGCGATCAAAGCGTCATGCGGCTAATTTTTTTTGGGATGAGATCGGTCTGGAAGCTATAGCCAAGCGCATTGAAGTGCGTAAACGAGTAAGCTTAACGCGGTGGAGACAGTATACGTCAAAGGTTATATACACGGAAAAGTCGCTTTCACAAAGCCTACCACTTTCTACTTGCCGTCTACCTATAAAACCGAGAAGATGGATAAATACCTGATAAACATCTAAACAGAATATCTGGTAAGTCCTCTGGAAAGACCTCTCGAAAGGCCTCTGAAATGACCAAAAAGATATCACAAGACATAGGCGGCCAACTATTATTGTTTTACATACATAGACAAATTATAGTTAACTATCATAATAGCTATATAATGTAACTAAATGATCTACACATAGCCCAAAAAAAAAGCAATTTCTAAGTCTTATATGTACAAGTTTCCCCTGCAGGTTAAATCTCCCCGCCTGCCCCGCCTTTCCACTTCACTTCCTTTTGATATTGCAACTTTTACAGCCCTTCACTTGATACTCTTTGACTTTTTGGTCTTGTCTTTGGGAAATCTCTCACTTTTGAATCTCTACGTTCACGCCCAATCTCCACATCCCCGGTTTCCATCTTCCACTTCTAACCTGACCATTTCCCGGAAGGTCAGGCTGATAAAAACTGTGTCACATGCACCTGGAATGATCTCGCATCATGTCTCTCAAGTATGCCTATGATCCTTATGGCTGTTTCTACCCGGGACCAGCCAGAACCAGACCCATATAAGGATCCATACTGACTACTGCCTAGTTGGGTAATGCTTGATGACCAGGACGGCTTCGTCCGTCTTCCCAACGAACGTCTGGTCTACTCCTCTCCTCCTCGTACTAGTGTTTCTTTGACTCCGCCGTCGGGATACAAGGGCGCAGAGAAACTATCAATCCAAAGCAGTGCCGGCTGCATCCACCTCACCAACCAAAGAGTCAGTATCCATCCATGTCAATGTCTTCCTCTTTTAACACCCACCAGGTTGTCTATCTTCCCGCATCCAGAAGCAATGATTTCCAGTCCTTCTCGTCACCTCTCTTGAATGTCCGTGACTCCCATGTATCTGCACCATTCTTTGGACCGAATGTATGGACAGCTCTGGTGCAACCAGTATCTGGGGGTGGCATTTCACCGTCCCTGCCTGCCGTTCAGTTGAAAGTAACATTCAAGGAGGGCGGAGCCTTTGACTTCCATACCAACTTTGAGCGGATCAAGGAACGACTTGAGCAGGCGGTTGCGAACACAAGCGAGGGCACGCGAGGGCAACAAAACGTGGATCTCTCAGCAGTTCATTTAGAAGAGTTGCCCGCATATGAAGCCCCACCTAATGCTATCCACAACGATAGACCCAGCGAGACACCAGAAGAGCCACAAAGCAGTCGAGCATCTGACACAGGTACCGAACCTGCCGAGCCGCCTCCTTGTTACGAGGAGGTTCAGTCGCAGAGTGTAGCCCACGAGCTGGAGGAGAGGCTGCGACGGGCCACTTAATCTATTTGATATGAAGCGAAAGTCTATTCCAACATGCTATTATATCATATACTCGAACTGGCCTCACTTTGATTCTCTCATGTACATTATCTCATCAATTACCAATTAGCGATACGAAAGCAGCGCTTACGCACTTAGAAATGAAAGAGACGATATGCTTGCCGACTTTTATTACCAGCAAACATTAGTAGAATTATCCCTTATCTCGGAGATCCTTGGATCAAGCTGAAATAAATCCAGTGTTGCACTGTCAAGTTCCCCAATGGTGTTGGAGCCCACCGGCCAATCACGTGTGGCATAATTGGCGTCTCTCAGCGGCCGGGCCTTTCCGATTTTCCAGTCCGAAAGAAGCAGCTCTTGGGCAAAACCAACAACCTCCCTCAATTACAACCCCCTTCCGCTTACCCACCCCCACACAAGACCTCCGGTCATCATTCAATTGATCTCTGTCGCAATGGGTCTCTCCGACTTTTTCTCTGACGTTGTCTCCTCCTTCGGGTTCACCGAGGCCCAGGCTGAGGCTCCCGCTCAAGACACCGAGACCGAGACCACCACCCAGGAAGAGCCCGCCGAGAAGGAGGAGGCCGCCTCCACCGAGAGCGCCGAGACTGAGCCCGCTGAGGAGACCCCCGCTGAGGAGGAATCTTCCGAGGAGGCTCCCGAGGAAGAGGAGGCTGAGGCCGAGGAGGAGGAAGAGGAAGAAGAGGAGGAGGAGGAGGAGGAGGAGGAGGATGAGCCTGAGGACATCAAGCCCAAGCTTGAGGAGGGTGAGTAACCTTGCTATTATTTTTGACGTTTGCTTTTTTTTTATCTGCGTTCCATTGTCGCCTATGTCATGCGATCGTTGGACATGAGTCGTTTGCACAAACGGTCTCATGTGTCAGGATCCGCGCGTCCGGGGTATAGAACTGCCAATGGCATTGCAAAGACGAATCCCACTAGCTTTCTCGATCGGAAATTAACTATTCATCTCAGAGTGCGCCCACTCCGCCGTCTGCGCTCCCTACAAGCACCACTACGATGAGTGCGTCGAGCGCGTCACCCGCCAGGAGGAGGATGAGGATTACAAGGGCCCCAAGGAGGACTGCGTTGAGGAGTGTAAGTGCAATTGACACCAACGATGGGACCAAACAAAACCATGGAATTGGCTCCCATCGAGTTCTGATCGTGCGACTAACATAACCCCCCCCCAGTCTTCCACCTCACTCACTGCGTGACCGCCTGCGCTGCCCCCAAGCTCTGGAGGGAGCTGAAGTAAACGACTCTTTCATTGAGTCTTGATTTCGGCGTTCCATCCAACCCTCGCATTGATCCGGCCCACGAATAACATTCGCTTTCCACCGCATCGATACGGGGGAAACCCTTGGACTGAAACGCTGGAAGAAAACCCAATCCCGCTTTTATGATGGCTGCCAAGGCAAACTGATAGCCTGGTAGCTTGCCGCCTTGGATTGAGAACGCAGGGTCGATCCAGAAACGTGAAATTTTGTTTTCTACTCGTTCCTTGCGTATGTGTGCGCATATTGTGTTTTTCAAGGCAGGGAGGAGGGCCCAGAGGAGCATGAAACAATAATAGATCATTTGCCCTCCTCTTTTAGCCTTGTGTGTACAGATAGCTGGTCTTCCGCCTGTGCGAACTGTGCTTTTGTTTAATCTCTTGTTGTAAAACGAATCTCATCTGTCTAGATTGGCATTGTGCTCTGGTAGGCTAGGCTTATAGCCATTATCCAACTACAGGATGTATATAAGTCGGTTCGGTATCGCTATGGGTAGATTATCGGTCCACAAGTACGCTCAATTTACTAAGGCTGATATATCGACACACATCACATCCAATCCGTATGAGTCAAAAATTCAAAACATATTAGGGTAACATAAGTGGGGGTATAACCTATGCTGATCAAGGAAGAGCAGAAATAAAGACTCGAGCGGCCATGGTGCAGCAATGAATAAAAAAAAAGAGTATGACTCGCAGCTTTTCCAAATCATCCCAAAAAAATCACGGGAGCGACGCAGTGGGCAATCCTTTCAAGTCTTGATAGTCTTGATCAGCGTATCAGTATCTGCAGCAGATTCATCAGACCTAACCTTCTTAACACTATCACCAGTCCCAGCCACCTCCGGAATCGCCTGCAACTCAACACCGCGATCAACCTCCAACCTACGACGATGAACAGCCCTTCCAAAAAGTCCAATCGTCAACGGGAAGGGCGCAGCCACAACAGCAACCACAGCCGCAAACACCAACGCATTCCGCATATTATACGGTGGCGCAGCCCCTGCCCCAGCCTTCAACGCATCCTGAATAAGGATAAAGCACGCACCAAGCAACTGCCCACCCGTCCAGCAGATGGTACTTCCAATCTCCGACGAGAGCGGATAAGTAATCTCAGCCAGGTACTCTAGAACAATCGGCAGCATCGCGAACGACGCCGCACCCAGCAGCGCCATAACCACATACGAAGGCGGAATTCCCGCCGCACTGCTCGGCGCGAAAATCAACCCGATATACGTGACTGCCACTACAGGCACTAGCACCCGGATACTGCCCAGGTAGTGCTTGTAGCGATCTGTTATCGGCGACATAATTGCTGATGTGATGAGTCCCACCACGATCAGAATGGCGCCCGCAATGCCTGCTTCTGTCTCGGAAAACCCGTGTGGACTGAGGATTTGATTCAGCAGCGAGGAGACGCTGTTGAAGAAGCCCACGTACACAGCGAACGGGATGAAGATCTGCCAGAATTCCCGCGTGCGGGTTAGTTTGCGCACTGCTTCGCCCAGTGGTGTGTGCGGCTTTGCGGCGGATGCGCTTGCGGGTGTTGGTGGTTCTGCCGGGAGGAAGAATGATGGCAGTGCTGCGACAGTGGACTATTGGGTTACATGGTGTGTGAGCGACAGGGAGAAAGGACTAATGGGTGGCCTGGGCTTTGGGGGGGAGATGTGGGTTTCACGTACGATGATCGAGATATACAGGACCATATCTGGAATATCGGAGGGTTTCGATGCCCACTCCGAGTCAACTAGCTGGCCCAGGGCTGCGCCGAGTGGATTCGCTAGACTGGCGACGGCTGTTGCGCTCGTGCGGCCATGGTCTGAGAACCAAATCTCACTGTATCGAGTTGGCGCGCAAAGGCAGAAGGGCTGCGCGAACCCTATTAGGATCTGGCCGAACATTGCGAGCCCGAAGATGCCGCCGTTTGCTCTGGTTCCGGCATATCTGAGCCAGTTGCCGACTAGTAGTAGTGCAGCGGTGGTGATTATAGCTGGTTTGGGCCCGCCTTTGTTCAGGATCCAGATGACGATGCTGGTAAACTGGTTAGTGACTGAACTGATTGGAGCGAGTATTTTTCTCCTCTTTCATTTGGAAACAGCGATTGATGTATACTTACGGGCTAACAGCGCAAAAGGCGAAGAGGTACGCAGTGCTCATCCAGTTGATAGCGCTTTCCGAGACATCGAAGTACTCGGCGGCCGTTGTCGAGATCGACGAGAAGGTCAACCACTGTATACGAGAGTCAGCGCCATACAAAGTATAGCAATTGCAGAGCACTTACATCCCAACTAACAACGATATTCAGCAATACCAACTGGGCCAGACCCCAAAAGCGTCGCTTATAGACCTTATAGACAGGCCGAGAGCCCTGCTCGGTATCTGGAGAGAACTCAAGAGTCGACATGTCTACAGATGTGACAGGCCAAATTACATTTTGGGGTCTCTAGGTATAAAGGAGTGTAACAAAGCGGGCAATTTCCATCTTAGCCTCTTGGCCCTTTTTTTTTTTCATGTTACTCTGGGGGATCCGAGGTACGCGCAACTGTGGTACTTGGCAGTACTCGATGAGCCCTACTATAATGTTACATTGCACAAGTACTATTAGGTAGAAGGTACTTTCTCAGGTATCTAGCGGGGTTGAAGGTCCCATGTGAGGTTTGGCTTAAATTAATTCATTTCACAATAAGCTATTGGATATTATATATTGTACAGTAAGTATATAGTAGAATGTATCTCTCTACAATATAGTGGATTTTCTAATCATCTGTAACAAAGAAAGTGGAAATCGTACATGGGGCACTCGTATTCAGGGGCAGTGTATACTTCAAGTTCAATGTTCTATCAACTACTCCTTACATCTATATCTACGTGTACAATATTCATTCGAACATATCATTTAAAAATTGTAGGAAAAGTGGCTGAACCCTAACGTGATGCCGATCGTGTGTTTTCTCCTTCACTCCCCGCCATCTTTTATAAATTATCACCCTAAATACATTGAATCCCTCTCCACAACTTTTCTACAAAACCGTGACCTACTGCATTTCCCTCCGATCGCAAACTCCAGCGCCCGAAACTCATGATGTGCGACGCCTGTTTCTGAACTTCTCCTCATTCTAATCGGAGAGATCCTGGCCATTGAACGACCATGAATATAAGTATGCGCTCCAGCCAATCCTCCTACGGGGACCCGCGGTATCTCTCGACCATGACCGCCTCCGATGCTCCAGCTCCGGTGCCGCATGGAAAAACACTCGTGGACGGGTATCGGGATGCTCTGGACCCCCAACATGAGGAGCGGTCACGATATAACCCAGTGAGTAGAGAGACAGCACCCCAACCTGGGACTCCAGCTAACCATGGTTATCTCGTTTCTGGTAGCTCAACTCGACCCACCCGCGAAGCTCGGCTCTCCTGAATGCCAACGACCCCGTGGCCATGTACCTGTTGACCGAGACCGCGATAGGGGATAGTACGAACTACGAAGTGCTGTCCTTTGAGGAGGTGGAAGAGCTGAAGAAGGAAGTCACCTTACTGTCCACTCGCATCCAGGGCACGAAACGGAAACTGGCGCTTGAAACAAAACTGCGTGATGCGGCGCAATCTCTCGGTAGACTCTACAGCCCGCCCAGCCCGCGGAGCAGCGGCGAATACAATTCCAATGGCGGCTCAAACGCCCGGATGAGCCGGGGCGTATTTGGTCGTAGTGGGGCTTCTGATGCCCTCGACAAGAGCGACTCCGAACTCGCGGTCAGCCAGCGGCGATGTGAAGAATTGGCGCAGGAACTCTGGAAGCTGGAGAAGAGGTCCCAGAAGATCAGCCAGCGCTTGCTGGAACACACTGCGGGTGTCTTGCAGATGACACACAAGGGTCTGAAGAAGGGTCCCAAGAACCCTGCTCCACGCGATTCGGATAGCACCTATGATGATCACAAATTCGATGACCGCAGTCTCTACCGGGCGGCCGAGCATTTGGATAACTTTGGCTTCCACGGAAAGAGTGAGACCAACCCCGCCGCCGCAATGAATACCGAGGCCATGCAGGCTACAGAACGACGATTGGAGGAACTTAGCGAGCGCATGCATGACATGATGATACAGTCCAACCCCGGTGAATTCATCGATCCTCCCCCGCAGCTGTCAGGAGGCGGAGGGCCTGTCAATCCCACAGCAACGGTTGAAGCTCACCTGGCCTATATCCAGAATGGCATGAACAACATCGTCTTGCATACGGGAGACGTTCCTACTCCTGTGGTTGCTCGCAACATTGCACCTGAAATTGAGGGCGCCTGGAAACAACAACTCACCAAAATCAACAATCAAGTGCAAACCATCGTTGATCGGTTTGGTTTGACCCGTTCGCCAACCTTGCCTCCGCCCCCTGACGCGTCTCACGGCGAAGGGCTGGAAGAACAACTCTCATACCTTCAGACTGGGTTAGATGGCCTAGAGAGTCGAGTGGATGGAGTACTTGAGCAGAAGAGTATTCTCACCACACAAATCCAGCAGCAACGCGAGCTCAACTCCAAGTCAGACGCCGAACGAGATGCTCATATTGGCGACCTAACAGAACAGTTGACCCACGCTCGTAGAGAGCTTGAAGTATCTGAGCGTGGAAGCAACGCCAACCGCGACGAGCTGGCTCTTGTCATGGAACAGCTCAACGCAATGCGCCACAGTGGCTCTTCTCAGGAAGAAACCAAGGCGACTCTAGTTCAGGCCGAGGGCGAAGTCGCACGTTTGCAAAGCGTTGTTACCTCGTTGCACGGCGAATCTGATGCCAGGATCAACGAAGTCAGAGAAGCCCGAGATGCTCAAGATCAAGCAGAAGCCGAGGTTAAGCGCCTGCAACACTACATCGACGATGTGCAAAGAGACAACGATGACAGAGCCGAGGAAATCAGTGATGCCCGCGACCGTGCAGAAGGCGAGGTCAAGCGGCTACAGGCCGTCATTGTATCATTGCAAAATGATGTCGAAGCTAAGAGCGAAGAGGCCAGAGAGGCCCTTGACGATGCGGAAGATGAAGTGAAGCGTCTACAAGCGGTCATTACATCTCTTCAGAATGATACCGATGCTGAGCTCGAGGAGGCCAGAGAGGCTCGCAACCATGCGGAAGACGAGGTCAAGCGTCTACAGGTCGCCATTGACTCCCTGCAAAATGACACCGCCGTCAAGAGCAAAGAGGCCATGGAGGCTCGCGACCGCGCGGAAGATGAAGTTAAGCGTCTAAACGTCGTCATTGTGACTTTGCAAAACGACACCGATGCTAGAAGTGAGGACATCAAGGAAGCCCGGGACCGTGCAGAGAACGAGGTTCAGCGCCTACAAAGCGTCGTTGAAACACTGCAGAACGATAGCGATTCCAGATCGGAGGAAGTTAGGGGTGCTCGTGATCGCGCAGAGCAAGAGGTGGCTCAGCTCGAAGCCGCAATCCAGCAGATCCGGATTCAATCCGATGCTCGTATTAAGGAAGCAGATGATCAGCGCGCGCAGTCTGACAGCAATACTACTCGCCTACAGAATGAGATGACTGAGCTCGAAGGCGAGATTGTGCGGATCACAACTGAACTGACAATGGTCAAGGCAGAGCTAGACGGCGCCTATGGTACCCGAGCCGAACGCGCTGCAGAGGTATCTTCCAACCCTAGTATCCAAAGGGAGAACGATGCTCTGGTTACCCGAAACATCGAGCTCACGGAGGAACTTGCCGTCCTGAAGAGCCAGCGAGGAGGTGGTGATCTTCAACAGCGGGCCGATACTCTTGAAAGAGAACTTCGTGAGACCATCGATGACTACGAAGCCATGACGAAAGCAAGCATCGAGTTTGAGAAGGAACGCGAACGCTTCGAAAGTTTCATTGACAGTCTTCGGGATCGTTGCGAACAACTCGAGACACAACTGGCAGAAGAACGTATCAGCTGGATGAACTTGAGTAGTCCCACATCTGTGGGCCGCGATGGCACATCTGAGACGACCTCTACTATGGTGCTCAAGAATGAGTTCAAGAAGATGATGCGTGACACACGCAACGAGAACATGAAGATACTGAGAGTGAGTTGTATTGTACCTTTCTCTCCTTTTCTTTAACTGACACCTCCTAGGCCGAACAAGAAGAGCGTCGCAGAATTGAAGGGTTGCTGCGAGCCCTAAGAAAGGAGCACGCCCAAGTGACTGGCAGGCCAATGCCCAGCCCAGGTGGAACTCCATTATGATCATGACATTCAACGTTTTCGGGTTTTGAGCGCATATTCAGTTAAGAGTGTACATATAGACTGTTCTCTGTTTTTGTATAATAATTTATTTTGGCTTGATCTCGGCAGGCACGATGAGGTTTTCGAGGAAATCACATGCTCATCTTTGATATTCCCACCTATCACTCTCCCAGTATATTTTCTATTTTCATCTTGACCAGGCTTCGCTCTTTTGGCTTCAACATGTTTTCCCGAGGAAGAATCGATCAGTCCAGTAACCCCCATTCGCAGGGGGTTTCAGCATCACAGAGCCTCCGACGTGGAAAACACCTCGATTCTGACTCCATTTCACCATACAATAACCCAGAATCATCCGAGTCTATCCTTAGTGATGAAAGATCTATATTCAATGCGATCAGAGTCACCACACCAAATGATTCCAGCCCTCGTTTCTATGCATCTTTCTCCCATGACAACCCCGTTCACGAACAAGGCTTGGCGGTAAACCTAGCCAGATTCGTTTCTGCAGATTCACAGGATGACCATACTCCTACTAATGTGCCAGCCAGGCAAGGAAGACGACAGAGAATGGCAGGGAAGCTTGGAAATCATACCAAGTCGTTATCTGACCAGTACTGGCAAGTCACGCACCGGCTGGGATCTCCTTTGGGTAAAACGGCATTAATACCAGACTCCCATCGGCCTTTTCATCGCAAGGCTGTTTCCCTTGGTGCGAATGATAGTAGTATCAGTCGGCCTAGATGGCCTAGGAGCTCGGGGCCTGCAATAACGACCATCCAACCTCGGTATCCACCACCAGAAAGAACACCCACACCCCCTGGTCTTCCCTCCTTCGGCACGCCAGAGGCTATGTCCTACTCTGCGCGGTTCATGCTCCCAGACAACGGTGCACGATCATCTGCAACCATGCAATGTGGTGGTCCTACTGGTGGTCAGAGTAGCAGTTCATATGGCGATACCTTAAGGAGATTTTTTGGCTGGTCGTCTTCTGCGTCTCATGCTGGTGGGATCTCCGTTAATTGTATAGGACGAGCCGATGATGGCACGCTGGTACAGGGCCGGTTCCCTCGTCGACAAAGTGGCCATGGAATGAACATTGGTCGACAGCTGCATGAACACCCTTTCCATCAACGTCTTCCCATTGCCCACTACGAAACCACAGATACAAGCCATGATTCTTATGTCGAAGCTACACACACAAAGGGTGGCCTTGGGCTTCGCCCAAGCGGACGTGTCCAGCCTCTGGACACCCCATCTAGACGACATTTTCCCTTTCCATCGAACCCGGTCCCTGCTGTAGTGGATCGTGCGGTGCGGCCCAGGGCCACTGCAATTCTCAGCTTGTCGTGCAATTTGGCTGGATCAGACCGTCCTGTGGATCCAGTGGAATCTTCTGCCCAAGGGACCAGAGCAACTGGAGACCATCTCCCTTCAAATCCATCGCGGTTGCATTCCGTTTTCACAATGGCTGTCCGCGGTGGTGCAGATGAAGGCCCTCATGCAAGCACACCCGTCTGTCCGGATATTTTGTCGTGGGTGAAATCCCAAACTTGCCTCTGCTGCTGCTCGGACAGCCAAGAGGAGCCAGATGACTCTCTTGGGGCAACCAGCTCGCGGGAAACATATGTAACCGCCCAGAGCCAGGTATCGCCTGCTGGATCTCAGAGTGAAAACAGAGAGGGGAATACCCATCTCCATGACCTCCAGGCATGGATCTCATCTCTATACGGTATCATGTTCCCCACCCTTGTGAACCCTGCCGCTGTATAACCTTTCATTAAAGTATTGCTGTTCGCCTCCACAACCTGTTGCGTGGCTACTGTGATGCTATTTTCTTTGTTTGCTGAGTGCTAAGTGCTGAACGCACTTGCTGGGTGGTCTTATCATTAATTCGAGCGTGTCCTAGCATCATACTCCTATACATACATACATACGTCCCTCTCTTGTCAGCTGATGCTTTACCCTTGAGCATAATATGGTTCTTCTCTCCTATGCTGAAAATCGCACATGGTTGTTTCCTGTCCATAACAAACTACACAGGAAGCCTTTTTAAGCCCCCCCGAATGTACAGTTCTTCTCGGAATCACATTGATGAATGTTTTGTAGATTCTGTCATTTTCATTGAGACCTTAAGACTCTAGCTCATATAAATAAAGTCTCGTTTCTACTTCCACTGGATTTTCATATTTATGAAGTGACGTAGTTATGTATTTAATATAAGATTAGACCACTATACCCGACCAACCATTCACTATATAATCACCCAGAAATCGAGAAAGTCCAATCCTTCGGGAACAAGCCATACTGCACATCATCCCTATCCCGGAAGATGTCATCATAATGCGCAACACGAGACTGCGGATCCTCAGCCTGAGCATAGTACCCATCCGCCAGCGCCTTGAACACGGGATCACTCCACATCTTCGCAATCCACGCCAGCACATCAGGGCCAGCACCATCTAGCGGAACCCCATAGGAGCGGAACCGCTAGAAAACAAAGTCAGTAACTCTTTTCTTCTTCTTTTTTCTATAGAAAGGAAAGAAATTCACCCAAAGAACCGGCCAAAAGAACGCGTCCGCAATACTAAATCCACCAAACAAAAACCCTTCATCGACCTCGCCCAGCACCGCAAGACGCTCTGTAGTCGCCTTACGCGCCGAATTCCAGATCCGGAACATGGACGCTATCTCGGCAGCTACGCCATCCGGGATGGGCACGTTGCCCGTGTACTTGGCGAGGAAGTTTGTGTAGTAGTTATCCCGCAGGACTGGGAAGCCGGCGTGCATTTGGGCTGCGGCGCTGCGGGCCAGGGCGCGCAAATGGCGGTCTTTGGGCCAGAGGGGGGGGGTTGGGTTTGATTCAGCGAGGAATTCGCAGATGGCAAGGGAGTCTGTGACTGTTGTCGAAGGGAGGGAGCGGCATTGGAGGATTGGGACCATGCCCGTTGGGGAGAAGGCTTTTGTCTGTGGTTCGTGAGTGACTGTATACTTAGCTTTGTGTCGAGTAGGGATGTAGGTACTTCGGAGAGCTGTATGAATTGGCATGTATGGGGGATCTGGAAGTATTCCAGTACTGCTTCAACACGTGCTGTCCAGCCTATTTGGAGAGGGCTTGTTAGATCTGATGTATGGATGATTGTATGCTACTTACTGGAGTAGCGGGTGTATAGCCCGACGAGGTGGTAATCTGGTGTAGCCATGTCTAGAAATGAGAAGTTAATTCTAAGGTTGAGTTGTTGAGTCTGGGGAAATCCAAGTACTCATTGCGGGATGTAGTCCCCGATGAGTCACGATTTTAATTTCGCATCGGGTTCCAGAGGTTTTAAACATGTGATTGATTCTAGTCCTAATGCTATGGAAATGCCGCACCGGCGCCATGCAAGAAAGATAACAAGAAAATAGGAAAAAAAACATAGAGGAAACTCCGAAAAAGATATGAGACCTGGATAGCCAGCAATGATTCCTAAGATAGAAGTCAAATAAAAGATACATCATTTAATAGAAAGCAAGCGCCCACCATATAGCATGGTACGACATTGAGAAGATGGGTAAGGAGAGGTCAGGGGGAGACGGAGAGAAAGAGAGCAAGTGGGAGAGCAAGGATCAATGCGCCAGGCAAAGAACACACAACGCAATCATATGGATGCTAATAGGAGGAAGTCGTCAAGTGAATTGAGCCATCTTTTCATCAGAGGGTTCAGAATTCGCGCCCAGGAAGGACGATGCAGGAAATGCACTGAAGTAAAACAAGAACAGATGCGGGTATTAAAAGGTGTAAAGCCGAGAATATTAGAGCCCCTTGAAGAATGGACTCGCCTCAATGATATCTTCGTCATCACAGGCAAAATCCCATCCCACAATGCGAGGGTCCACGCTAGCACAAATGAGCTTCCGTGCGTCAAACTGAAGTTTGAACACCCTTGCAGCTGTCGAGGACCCTTGAGGTCTGCGTTGATGGCCATGGTGGTGATGATGGTGGGCAGGGGGTAGGTTGAGTGGCAGGGCATTGGGAACCACAGGAGACACAAACTGTGGGTTGGCACGACCAGCGTGGGGGTTGGCATTGGTATGTTGTCCAAGTGTCGCCAGAGCTTGCGCTGCTTGCAATTGTTGAGCCTGGGCCGCAATAGTGGTTTGTGCCACTTCGCTGAGATTCCCACGAGCGGAATTAGCGATGGCATCGCTGTGTCGCAGTTGATGATCCGTTGTCCACCTCTTATCATGGTCTTTGTGCCAGATTAGGATTGACTCGTCGTAGGAACCCGATACGATACGGGCCCAGCTACTACCTCCCCCACCGGGTGGGATTTTTGCTCCCACAGCAGTCATATCGCGAGGGTCTCGTGATCCCGCGGTGTTCGGTTGATAGCCATTGCGGCGTTGCTCCCGATGACCCATGTCGACGTCCACGCCGGCTTCTCGAGCGGCGAAGAACGCAGTGTCACACGCCAGCGCTTCTTCGCGTAAGGCGTGATCGGCTCCCGGAGCATCACCAAACCCTGCTTGAAGGGTGCGAACGAGATTAGTATGAGCTCGCAGACAAGCCACCTCAGCTCCGGTGGCATGGTCGTAGATGCGAACAGAGTTATCATTGCTGCCACTGATTATTCTTCGGCTGTCGAACTCAACACATGCGATACCTTTCTCGTGACCCGTCAAGGTCTTCGAGCAATTACCAGTGCGGATGTTCCAAACCTTGATCACTCGATCTCCAGACGCCGTCACGATATCATCGCCATGGATCTGCATCGCATTCACGGCCGCTCCATGTCCTTCTACGGTCATAAGCAATGTGTAAGGCTCTAGGGCTTTGTATTGATCATGCGCAATGCCAGCTTCGAGAACGTTCGGAGCAATCGCGTTCAGATCTATTATCCATCCGGGATATGTGGCGCTTGATTCATGGCAGATATGCGGATAATCCTTGCTATTCGGTAGAAGATCTCGGCGATTCCATACCTTCACAGTTCGGTCTTTGGAACAAGTTACGAGGTAACGATGATCAAATTTGAGATTGAGCACCGAGTCAAGATGCGCTTTCTCGATTTGATGGATCTTTTCTCCGGTGGAGAATTTCCACACGATGACGGACTTGTCGCTGCTGCCGGAGATGATGATGTCTTCCTCAGGTCGGGGATCAAATTGCAGACAAAGTACGGATTTCGTATGTCCCACCAGCGCGGGATGCCACAGTCGTTTGGTATCCAGGTTCCAGACTCGCACAGTCTTGTCTCGGCTCCCACTGACTAGCCATCGGCCTTCGAATTGGATCGCATATACGCATTCCCGATGGGCCTCTTCTGGGTGGGACGGGTCAGGAAGTTGGAAATTGGTGTATCGGCCTTGATGCCAATTTGCTTCGAGTCGCCTGCGTTGCTTATAAATATGAAAATAGTTGATTTTGGCGCTTCCATCGGTATCCCGGATGAGAAGACGCGATTGTAGAGGTGGGTACAGTGGTGAAGGAAATTGGGGGATATTAGTTGGTAGAATGAACTCCGGGTCGTCGGCGAACGAAGGTGCGGTTTGATCGTCATCATCAGTCATGTGGTGATCACCTTCGTTGTCGGCCATCGGGGGCGCAGGGCCAAACACGGTCGGCCTTTGATTTTCATCGCTTCGTGAATCGAGCCAGGTCGATGGCACACGCTTTTTATGCTTAGGTTCCCCGAGATCTGGTTCCAAGTGTCGGAGGCGGGACTTCCGGGTCTGAGGCGACATGGCCTCGGAATGTTCTTGCTCAAACGCACGAATCGCGCTCGTGTCCATGTCCCAACCTTCGTGGATGTACTGGAATCTCCACAGACCCGATTCAAGAATCCGTTCACGCCATGAGCGGGATGCAAGCGAGGCATTCAAAAGCGTCCTAGCGTCGAGGTAGGTAAAAAACCTCCCATGTGATTTCCGGAGGAAGCCTGACACATGGGTCAATATGGAGGATAGGATTAAGTCGAGCAACTACTGCGGCGATGCTTGAGGTTCGTAGAGACCGAAGCAGGCTGTATGCGAGCTCTGGAAATGGAAACCCCTCGGTTAACAAGAAAATCGAATAGTAACTAGAGAGGCTGATGCTTCGCGCTCGTAGCAATTACCGAAGGGGAAAAGGAAAAGGGATATCTTACCAGCTCTGCCGGCCTCAGACTGGGCGAGCACCCAGTTTGGAAGCGCCATGACATTGTCCGATCCTAGATCTTTGTCGGCCAGGCTTCGAGTATCGTCCGAGTAGCCTTCATCTAGCTTAAACGAGGGTGACAAAGAAGGCGCAGAAAATTCGGAAAGGGTAGTTGTCTGCAATTGCAGCGTAGGAGAGATTTGAGCATCGGGTAAAGGCTCACCCTCCATCGATGCGGGTTTTCAGAGGGGTCCGCGCCGAGCTGATGAGTCGAACGCCGAGATCAATGGTGTTGCGCGATGGCTGCGAAAGCCTGCAAGGAAGTTTTCGCGAAGATATTATTGAAAATTAACAGATGGGGGTAGGGTCCTTTGTAAGAGGAGGGTTGGGGAAGGGAGGTTAAACAGATGGGTTGGCCTCGGTGCATGTCACGTCACGTTTGGACGAGGCAAGGCCCACCGGATTGATAGAGCGCAAATATAACTTCAGTCGCAAAGCGGAAAAGAACAGGAGAATTTAAATTTAAATGCAAAGTGGAAAAAAGTAAGTAGTATTTCAATTTATTATAGAGTAATTAAGAGTTTCTCATCTGAGTAATAGCTTTGGAAATAAAACATGTTTGATTAGGCGCGCGTGAGATGGACATTTATTCCCCAGT